CGGCGGCGCGCCCGCCTCCGCCGGGAAGACGGCCGCGAACATGCTCCGCGCGACGGCTCCGTGCAGGGCGGCCGGCGGCGGCCTCGACGGCGCGGAAGCGGCGCTGCGCCCAGCACTCCCCGCACGTGCGCCCGGCGCGCCCCAGATATAGCCGGGCGCCCTGGCCGCGCCCCGCCCGCCCCGCTCCGCCCCGCACCGCACCTGCCGCCCTCTCCCCGGACGGGGAGCCCTCCGGGCGGGCGGGCGGGCGGAGACTACAACTCCCGGCATCCCCCAAGCGGCGTCTCCTCCTGAGGGCGGCAGTTGCGGAGCGGAGCCCGCGCCGCTCTCGCCCGCGAAGACGCGAGCCGCGGCCGATGCTCGACGGCGGGGCTCCTCGGGCTCGCCCCCTCCGCTGCGCGCCCCCGCAGGCCTGGGCGGCGGCTCCGCGGGCTGGGCGACGACGGGAGCGGCAGCTCGGCGCGCCCGGGGCCGTCCGTGGCGCTGAGTCGGGCGAGGGCGCGCTGCGGGCGCCCCCCTTCCACAGCCGGGCGGAGGGAAATCCGGTGGCCGTCCGGGGCACGGAAAGCCCGCGCTGGTCCCCTTCCCCGAGGGACGGAAGCCGGCCACCCCCCCCCCCGCCGAGCCCCTTCTCCCCAGAAATGCGGCGCGTCGGCAGCAGCCTGCCTGCACATGTGCCGCCGCCGCGGTGCAAGGTCCTGCTAGGGACGCCTCTTCCGTCCCTCTGCTGGGCCCCCCAAGTATGGCAGGGCTCCCCACTGGCTGCCCCCCAGATCCCTCCGCCTGAGCATGCTCCGCAACCTGCTGGCACGACTGTCTGAGCAGCAGGGGTCCCTCGAAGCGGTTCAGAACCCAGGTCACCTGCGCTCACAGGTGCCGAGTTTGTCCCAGGACGGAGTGCCGTCCTCCCGTGTGACCCACGCAATGGGCCACGGAGAGCCACATGCCGCTTGCCCTGCTCTGTGGCCAGGGGTTGCCAGTCTCGCAGCAGGGCGGACGCGGCACGCAAGCAGGTGCAGGGAAGGCCACCACGCCCGGACACCGGCCCCGGTGGCCGCCTGCCCCGACAGCATGACAAGCATTCCTCAGATACCTGTGGAGCCACTGGGAGGGCTGGTCCAGGGACCAGGCACAGGTGTCACTGATAAACAGAGGACCCCCCCCCCCGCACACCTGGCAGCAGCCACACTCCCTCATTGCAGTCCTGCCCCGGCCCCGAGCGCAGAGATTGGCAGGCTGTGGAGTTTCGTAACTCCCTTCTGGCTGGTGAAGAGCCCTATGAAACCCCGAAGCTTGCATTGTAACAAAGGATTAGAAGCCAGCTGCTCTGTGTTTCTCCCTGCTCCTGCAGGGGTGTGTGTGTGTGAAAGGGAGAGATAGACATCCGAGTGGGGAAGGTTTGGTCTCTAAATTTGCGCAGCAATTTATCGTGCCTTAGTGCATCCCAAACCACATGGCAAGAACCCAGAGCAAGGGACAGAGCGATGGGGCAGCCCAAGAGTGCCCGGTTCTATCACAAGGCGACAAAAAGATCAGGGGAAAGTCACATTTCAAGAGATCCCTAGCATGGTATTGCTGATAATTTCCTCCAACAGAAAGTGGAAGAAGGAACAGGAGGACCAGCTTGACTTGATACGAACCAATGGCGAGGACCCAGTGGACAAATTCCCAAATAAAGTCACATGGCAAATGATTCTAATAACAGCAAGAGGCCAAGATGGGTAGGAATTCTTTAAAGGGCGTTCTAAAGGGACAATTACAAACCGCTCCACCGAGGCACATGGGCAAGAGACAACAGAAAAAGCCCCCGTGGGCCTCCCAAAGAGCGTCGAGTGACCCGAAGACAAAAGCGACATGCGTGGGAAGTGGAAGGAAGGGCGGCTGTGAAGGAAGGAGGAGGCAGGTGGCCCAGGACTGCAGGGGAGGCGTCCGGAAGGCTAAAGCCGGGAACGAACCGAAGCGAGCAAGGGATGCGAAAAGCAGCGAGAAAGGCTTCTTCGGCTATGTCCAAAGTAAAAGACAGAGGAAAGATTTGGGGCTCGACTTCTATTGAGCGCACTGAGTTCAACTCCTCGGTGTGGATGGCGGAATGAGAGAGCAAAGGCAGGTGTGCTCCATTCCTACCTTGGCGCCATCTTCTCCCAAAAGAAGAGTTTGACCTTCCTGGTGAAGGGGAAGCACAGGCCGAAGGAGCAGGAGGGCAGCTCAGGGCTGAGGCCAGCGGTCAAGGAGCATCTCGTTGGGTTGGGTGAGGCCGGGTCTCCAGGGCCCCCTGAACTCCGTCACAAAGGAGCTGGCAGAAGACCCTCCCAGACCCCTGCCGAGTATCTCTCCGAAACTGTGGAGGACGGGGGACGTGCCCGATGACTGAGGAAGGCGAACGCTGCCCCGATCTTCAAGCAAGGAGAAAAGGAAGAACCTGGGAACAATCGTTCCAGCGCCAATCCCTGAGAAAATTCTGGAGCAGATTATGAAACAGTCCGTCTGCAATGCCCTGGAAGCAATGCAGCGACGGCAGGAAGCCAGCATGGATCCCTCCGGACCAAATCCTGCCAGACTAATCTCATTTCACGTTTGCGGGGCGTCCGCTCCCCGGGGGACTGTGGGAGTGCTGTGGGCATCACCGCTCTTCAGCAAAGCTCTTGACAAAGGAAGCAACCTGACCAGAAGCGGGTGGGTGGAACAAGGCCTGGGGGGATCCACAGTTGGCCTCAGACTCAGGCTGCTCCTCAGGGGCGCCTTCTCGGATGGGGGGGGCGCTTGGAGTCCTGCGCTGAGCAGGGTCGGGCCCGGTGCCCCTTCCAGCTCACCCGTTCCACACCTCCAACTTGCCCTCGGTGACTGTGGGGGGGGGAGGGTGTGCAGCACCCAGGACTCCCCGGGGGGGGAGTGGTGCTGACAGCGAAGGGAGCCTCTGTGAGGGGGGGCCTGCCTCACGTGCAGGCGCGCACTCGTTTACCACAAGCGCAATCACGAGACGATGGTCTTGATCCATTCCAGGCCGAGTTTTGGCACAAAAGGGACCGGTGGGCAGTGCCGGGGCAGAGACGGGCGCACGGCCCCACTGGCACTCCCGGTGCGCTCAGCGGCTTTCGGTGCCATGGGCGCTGGTGCCCTGTGGGGCGACTGCCCGGAGTGGGGGACCTGTGCTGGGGGTCCTGGCCCAGCAGTGTGGACTTTCCGGCATGGGGGGGTCTCGCAGGGGTTGCACAGACGCTGGCAGCCATCTGGGTGGGATGGTGGGGACTGGTGTCCTGCGACGGTGGGGGGCTGGACCCGATGGCCTTCTGGCCCCCTCCGGCTCCACTGTCCTATGATAGGGCGCTGGACGCAGCCCAGATGTTCTGCAGTTGCACGTCGCTCCGGCCCCACGCTGCCCCCCCCTTCCCCAAGAGGCCTGACTGCCCCGCCCTGTGTGAACTGCTCCCTCCCAGGGTGCTGCTGCAAGCCCGAACGGCCAAGAGAAACTGCACTGCACAGCAGGACGGCCACTGAGCATGGGCAGAGGGCCGTCACCTCTGCAGGTGCGTTGTGGCAGTGTGTGTCCCAGCCTCACCTTCTGCTGCCCTGTGGGGTTGGAGCAAGGACAAAATGCAGCGGCAGGCAGGGGAAGCGAGGCGCAATTCAAGGTCCGCGGGGGACTCAGAAAAGGAGAGTTGGAGGGACCTACGAGGCCATCCAGTCCAGCCCCGGCTCAGCGCAGGCGGCAGGCTAAGGCGGCCCTCCCAGCGGGCTGCCCCACTGCCCCCGGAAGGGCTCCAGGGCGGCAGAGCCCACGGCCTCTCCAGGTACCGGGATCCATGGCCGACCTGCCCCGGCCACCGGGCGCTTTGTCCAGATGTCCAGCCGGAACGTGGCCGCCTGCAGCCCGAGCCCCTTGTTCCGTGCCCTGCACTTGGGGGGTCGCAAGGATGCCCCGTCCTTGCCCTTGCAACAGCCCTTCGAGGGCGTGCAGAGAGCGATCGTGCCTCCACGGCCGCCGCGTCTCAGGGCCGAACACGCCCAGCGCTTTCCCCCTCTCCTCGTGGGGCTTGTTTCCAGTCCCCGGATCGTCCCTCCTCCGACGCTCGTCCAGCTTCCCTGCGTCTTCCCTAAACGCTGCTGCCCAGAACTGGACGCGGGACTCCGGAGACGGACCGAGCATCCCAAGCGGAGGGGAGGTGATGCGGCTCTCAATGGGGCCCAAGGCGGCCTGTGCCCTTTGGCGGCCGCTTCGCATCACGGGCTCCCGCTCGGCCCAGATCTGCGGCAACCCCAAGGCCCGTCCCACTCGCCGTCCAGTTCGCCAGGCAGCCCCACCGCGTGGCGACGCCTTCGCTTCCCCTTCCCCAGGTGCAAACCGGGGCCTTTGCCCCTCCTGGATGTCGCCCTCAGCCCAGGGCTCCAACCCACCAGGCTCGCCCCGAATCTCCGTCTTCCAGGAAACGTGCGTCCCACCCAGTGCCGTGTCATCTGCCGATCTGCTCCGTGCTCCGCGCTTCCTCGTCCAAGCCGTTCAGAAGACGCGGAGGCGGCCGGCCCGGGACTGAGCCCGGCGGCAGCGGGCGCCTCTCCCCGGTCTGAGGAGGTGCCGCCGGGGAGCCTCTCTGGGGGCGGTTGCGTGGCCGGCTGTGGAGCCGCCTGGTCGCTGCTTCGTGGCCCATCTCGGGCCAGCTGGCTGCTCGGCCTGTCAAGGCCCTTCATTGCAGCCTGTGCTGAAGTCCGGGCATGCTCTGTCCACGGCACTCCCAGAGTCCACAAAGGAGGTGGCCCAATCCGGAAATGGGTGCTGGCTTCCAGTAATTGCTCCACCGACCCTCCGACTGACTGCTTTATAACCTGCTCCAGAATTTTCCCAGGACTTAATGCCGGACGGACTCGTAGGAGGGACACCTGCAGTTCCCTGTATCCTCTTTCTTGCACTCTTTGGAGACGGGGGCAACAGTGCCCCTCCAGCCACCTGGCACTTCACCTGCCCTCCTCGTTTTCTCGAAGGGACCCCGAGCGCTGCAGGTGTGTGTGTGTGGGGGGGGGCGTCACTGGCCACTGCCTTGCATCCCAAGGAAGCAGCCTCAGCGCCGCCGCCCTTAGGGCGGGGACCCGAATGCGCCCCCAGCGCCTTTCTCATTTCTCAGTCCACCCCCCTCCGTCTCCGACGGGGCACGGGCTGCCCGCCCCCGAGTCTTGCAGGGCTTCGGGATTCGGCGCGCACACCAGCAGCCAAGTAGCAAGGTGAGCGGAACAGCGCTGGATCGGGCCGGGTCGGAGCAGGATCCCAGCACGGATCAGGAGGCTCCCGGGGAGAGCGTGCGGCCAGTGGCCACGCAGTGGCAGGGCCGGCTCCGGGCGGAAGCCCCTCAAGGCCGCGTCTGCCCCCCCCCCCACGCCCAGGCCTGGCGCGCTTCTGTGTTCCCCTCCAGAAGCCCAGGAGCCGGGTGGCCATTTCCTCCCATTTCACTGACTGCGGGAGAGGCAGCGACTGGCTGGGGCGGCCGGGCCGTGCGGAGAAGACGAGGGGCCAACTGACTTGCCCGGCTTCTGAGGAACTGCGCGCGGCGCCAGGGCGTGCTCCTGAGCCGGCCCCGTGCGGATTTCACACAGCGAGCAGAGCAGAGGGGCTTCCGGGACCTGGGAAGCCAGGCTGTGGGGCTGGAGCCGACTGGCACCTGGGGGGGGGGGGGCCCTGTGCCAAGACCCCCGCCACTCCGGGGCAACGGGCCTTCCCTCCCACAGCGGAGGCAGGGGTGCCCGGCCCCAGGAAGGCGCAGCGCCGGAGCAGCCGCACAGGCCCCGGCCAGGGGCCACGCCGGGGCAGCTCCCCTGCCCCCCAGCAGACGGCTGCCTGCTGGGGGACCTGCGGTGGCCGCCGCCTGCTGCCGGCCCCAGGCGGGCACGCGCAGGCTGCTGGCCCTCCCGCTGCTGCGAGACCAAGGGGGAAGAGTGAGTGGGCTGGAGCTGGCCCAGCCACCGGAGACGCTGCCTCTGCCGCGGCCACGGCACAAGCGGTCCCCACACCGCCCCGGCCCAGCAACGCCCGGCGGGACCCCAGCCTCCTCCCGGGCGGGGAAGCTCAGCCCCGACACCGGCTGGGCTCTGCAGCGGCAGCCTGGAGGCAGCCAACTGCCCCCGCCACCCATTGGCCGCCCCTCCCCATGCGGTCGGGGGGGCCGACCCCCAGCCTTGCATCTGACGAGAGCCCGGGGAGCAGGCCAAGCCCCGGGGGGATGCCACGGGCCCGCCACGCTGCCCTCCCGCCCCCAAGCCCCGGGCTGGGGGGCCACGCACAACTGCGCCCCCCGCCGGGCCGGCCTGGCGCTCGGCAAGGCCCGGCAGCGGCCCCTCGCGGCTCCCGGGGCCACGCCACTGGTGGAGAGAGAGAACATGGCAGGCAGGCAGGCAGGACAGAAAGCAACTTGGGCTTTGGTGCTGGTTTTTTTTTCAAGAGTTGGGTTTTTTATTCTCTTTTTAAATACTGTACAGTGAAAAATAAATAGTCTCAACCGTCACAGATCAAAGCCCCCCTTTCCCCACGCACAAACACACAAACTTGAGGCAGGCACGCCAGGAGCAGGTCTGTGGCGTCAGCTCCGCTCTAAGCCCGTCGTCTCTTTTTGTCTTCCACAGTGTTTTAATAAAGGGAACAGGAGGAGGAGGGACACGCTCTGCCTCTCCCTGGCGCGGCCTCCCGGCCTCCCTCGCCCGCCTCCGAGCCGCGTCCCGCCAGCAGGGGCCGGGCCGTCCGGGCCGGGTGGAGGGGGCTCCTCGGACAGCCCCGCGGCCCCCTGCGCTGGGCGGGACGCGCCCCTGCCCCACTCGCTCGGACGTCCCGGATCCTTGCCTTCGATTCGGAGCTGGTCGAAGAATAAAGGAAAAAACAAGAGCACTCTGCACTAGTGGGTGGGTGGGTGGGTGGGTGCGTGCGTGTGTGTTTGTTGTGAGTGTGTGTCTGCGTCATCAGAAGGCACAGGTTTCTCTCTCCCTCTCCTTTCCCCAGTTTGAATAGCCGGTTATTTTTTCCTCACGTTTGTTTCAAAAGAAAAAAGTTTAAGTCACCAAAAACAGATGCATGAAAGTCATAGTCTCCCCCGACACGGTTTGCGCCTCTCGGAAGGGGGGGCGGTGCGCTCAGGTAGCATCAGAGCCCCCCTCGGACATAACAAGAGGGCAGAAAAAGGAGGGGCGCCACTGCCCCGCCCGGCTGCCATTGCTGAAGCTTAACCTGGATGTGTTAAGAGCCGTGGTAAAGAGTTTCCCATCTTTGGCAAGCTTTTAACGAGCACTAGATAATTACCTTGGGATTGGGTTGATTCGTTTTGCTTTTTAAAATAATGGTTTTGTTCTTAAACAAGAGACTGGTGTGGTGTTTATTTTGTTTCTCTTAAGATGTTGCAAGCAGGTGAAAAGTAGGGGCCGTTCCACTTGGTTCGGAGGAGGGTTTGGCCGGCTGCGACTCGGGGGGCTTAGGACACCCCGTTCACCAGGGCGGCCCCCACTGCCGCCGCCGCCTCCTCCTCCCCGCCGGCGGCGGCAGCAGCGTGCTCTCCGTTCTCCGAGGGGCCGTTGACCAGCGTGCTGTCGGCCTCCCCCTGGAAGGGCAAAGAGGGCAGGTGTCCGCGTGGCAGCCCGGGGCAGGGGCCGCCGGGCAGGACCGGTCTGCCTCGCCCTGCTCAGGGGGTCGCCCAAGCTGCGCCCGCGCCCCCCCCCGGGTCCCGGCCGCGACCCCCGGGCGCACCTTCTGCCGGGGCGTGCTGTCTTCCGCCGACTTCTCCCGGCTCTCCTTGCGTGGAGGCCCCTGACGGCTCTGCGACTCGGCCCGGGAAATGTAATCGGCTACGGTGACTGCGGGCGAGAGCAGGCCCGACCCGTGAGCGGCGCCCCACGCAGGCGGCTCCCGCTCGCCCCCCCACCGGGGGCCACTGCCCCCTGCACCCCAACAGGCCGTGCGGCTCCTGCTCCCCTGCGGGACGGAGGGGATGGCCGGCGGTACCTGGCTGGCGGTCCCGGCTGATGGAGCCGTCCACACGGTTGCCGCGGTTGCGCCGGCGCCTGCTGCGGTTGCGCCGCTGAGGTTTCGACTCTTCTTCTGGCAGAGAGAAAGACAGGTGGGGGGCTGCGCGTCGGCACGCGCCCCAGGAGAGCGGGGCAGCCGGGGGCCGCTCCCACGCACGGGTCAGCTGGGGCGGCCACGAGCGGAGCTGGGGTGCGGCGGCTCCGCCCTCAGCCCCCCGCCTGCAGCCGAACGTCCCTTCCATGGCGCCTCCGGACCCCCGCCCGGCCGTCCGGCTGGCGCCACCCGCCCCATCTTGCCCTCTGCCCCCCCCCCCGGCCCCCGGCCCGCCAGAGGAAGCTCCTCGAGGCGCGTGGCGAGCAGCACGGCCACCTACCGACTCCGTTCTCGTTGACTGAGGTGCTGTCGGACTCCAGGGCCCCGTCCATCATGGTGGCGTCCTCATCCGTGCGACGCCGGCGGGACCGGCGCCGGCGGTTGCTGACCGGCTGTGACTCGCTGGCGTCCGTGTCGGCGGTCTGGTCCGTCTCGGTGTTGTCCAGCAGGCTGTAGGGGTTGCTGTCCGGATCTTTCAGTACTGCGCACACACGCACGGGGCGTCAGCAGCCCGCCCGGGAAATGGGCGACCGCAAGGGGCTGGCGGGGCTGCCCGGTGGCGGAGGGGGCACGGGGTCGGCCTGAGCGGGCTCCAGCTGAGAGAGGGGCAGGGGCAGGGGCGGGGGCAGGGCCGTGCTTCCGGGGTGGGGTGGGGGCACCCAGGCCAGGCCTCGCCTCCCTGGCCGGCACCGAGCGCTCGGGGCGATGCGGGGGCGCTCCCTCGCCGCGTGCTGATCTGAGCACGGAGAGCCGCACACCGCCCGCCGCGGGCCCACCTGCTCGGCGCGCGCAGCTCTCTTGGCGGGGCCAGAGCAGCGCGGGGGTGAGCACGTTGCCAGGCCCGGGAGAGCCGAGTCCGCAGCCCGAGTCCCTCAGGGAGGCCCCAGCACCCAGCGCCGCTTGAGGGTGGTGGACGACGGGGCAGCAAATGGAGGCCGGGCCGGGCCAGGCGGCCGCAAGGGCCGACGGCTGAGTGGCCACCAGGGGTGCCTCCTGCGGCCACGCGGGACTCTCGTGGCAACCTGCCAGCCAGCCGGCCGCTTGGGCTGCCGGGCGGTGGGGGGGAGAGGCTGGGGGGAGGGGGCGCAGCCGCCCTACCTGAGCTAATGGAGGAGCTGCTGTACTTGCTGCCGCTCCCGCGAGGCCCCGGGGCCGGCCCCCGCCCGCGGCCCACCCCTGCCCGCCGGCGGCTGTCCTCCAGGCGCGGGTCGCGGTCGCTGGCCGGCGGGCACTCGTACTCGTCCCTCTTCTCCGACTCCGTCTCTGAGGCGTTGGACATGTCGGAGTTGGTAGCTAGGGGGACAAGCAAGCCGAGGGGGTTTCTGGAGGGGCCTGCGGCGGCCAGGCGTCTCCACCCGGACTCTGGGCGCCCGCCCGCACCCAGGGCCAAGGGCGGGGGGAAGGGGCGCCCGCCCACCCGGCCTCCCTGGCTCACCGTAGCCAGAGTTGGGCCCCCTGCGCCCGCGGCCGCGGCCCCCGTAGCTGCCCCCGTAGGTCCGTGTGCCGTGCAGGGAGGAGGAGGTGCTCTCGTCGGTGGCGTAGCCGCCCCGCTCCTTGTCGCCCCGGCTGGACAGCGGGCGGAAGCCCAGGCCGATCTGGCGCAGCTGCTCGTCGATCTGCAGCCGCTCCAGGCGCAGCTGCTCCACCTCCTGGCGGGGCAAAGGCAGGGCTGAGACGGGGCTCCCCGCCGGCCTCGATGGCCCAGGCCCGTGGGGGCAACGGCGGCCCGAGACCCCCTGCAGATCGAGCGTGTGGCCCTGGGGGGTTCGCGCCTGGCCGCCGTCCTGCTGCCCCTCCTGGAGGGGACGAGCCGTGCGACGCGGGTCTTTCTCCCCCCCCACCACGCCGTGGGCGGTGAGCCACCCGGCACGCCATCTCTTGCCCGCCTTTGCTGGACCCGGGGCCAAACAGCACCCAGGTTCCAGGCTACAGGGCTCGGCCACCCCAGGGCAGGTCTCTTGGATTGGGGGGGGGGGGCTGACAGAGGCACGGAGAATCCGCGAGGCCTTACCTGAAGGTAGGACAGGTGGTACTCCAGGAGCGCCTGCGCGTTGCTGATGTTCTCCCGCGTTCCCACGAAGATGAAAGGGACCATCCCCTGGGGAAGGAGGAGGAGGAGGAGAGGGACTGGCAAAGGCGCCAGAGCAGCTGCCTCTGAGCTGGGGCGCAGGGGCCGCCCGGCCCCTCATGTTCAGCACGGGCCGGCACGCCACTCCGGGCCCAGCAGGCCCCCAAGGCGCATCGGTGAGCGCAGGTGGGCCCCCTGCGCGCCGTGCGCCAAGGGCACGGGAGGAGTTTCCCGACAGCAGGCGCGTGGAGCCCGCGCATCCGCGCAGGGGCAAGTGCGGGGGCTGGCGGCCAGGGAGCAGTGGCGGCACGTTCTCGCGACGCCGTGTGAGAGCGGCAGTGCGCGGCAGTGGGTACAGGGGCTGGCCTTCGAACCCCCGACCGACCCTGACCGACCCCGGTCTTGGTCCAGGCCGACTCCGGCCCAGCGAGCGCCCGAGACGGGCATGGGGACGGCGAGTGGGGCGGGCTGGAGGGCAGGGATGGGGGACCCGGCGCAACCGGCGGGGCAGAGGAAGCAGGCCCGGGTGGCTCCCGGCCGGGCCCAGGGACTGCTCTCCCAGCCCAGCCCGGCTCACCTCCTCCCGTGGGTTCTTCTTGTCATTGTCGCCCTCCACACGCACCCGGACCACGCCAGACTTGTCCACGATCTCCTGGATGACCTTGCCGTTCTTGCCGATCACCTTCCCTGCGGCGGCGAGACCGAAGGCGGGCGGCTGAGGGGCGGCGTCCAGCGCGTGCGATCCTCACTGCCCGCTCCCTCGCTCTAGGGACACGGAGGCCGCTGCCTGCTTCCAGGGCCCAGGGGCAGCTGTCAGGCGCACGAGGCCGATGGCCAGCCCCTTGCCTCAGGCCGGCAGCCCGGGGCAAAACGCCTGCCCTGGCCCACGGAGGGGCGGGCCCGCCCCCTGGCCCAAAAGGGGGGGGGCCAAGCCGGGGGCCCCTGGAGGCCATGGCCAAGAACCAAAAGAAGGGGTGAAGCCCGGCCCCGCAGGCCGAGCGAGGCCGCGAGCGCGTTCTCTGCGGCTCCCCGTTGTGCTCCTTCTGGCCCGCCCTGAGTCGCGAGGCGTCCGGGGTGCCTCAGGCCAGGCCGGAGGCGCAGCGGTGGGCGCAGAGGCAGGGCCAGCCAGAGCTGCTCTCAGTCCCTCCGTCGGGCGCTCCGGGTGTGAGGGGGTGAAGGACAGGCAGTGCTGCCGGCTCGCGCTGGGGCCAGGGAGCCCCTCTACTCACCAACCAAGTTCCGGGGGACTTGGACGGAGTCTTCGGAGAATTCCAGGAAGCTCCTGGCCTGCTTACAGGCTTCTGGCGTCTGGGGGAGAGAGGAACATGGCAGAGCCAAGCGCACGCTGCCACACGCATCCCAGCAGGCTCAGGGCGGCCACGGCTGCCCAGACAGCAGGCGCAGCCCGGGAGCCCTCCCCACCCCGGGTTCAAGCCTCCACTTCACGCGCCGTCACCTGCCCAAGCTGCCCCCCCCGACGCCGTTCCCAGGAACCCCGGTCCCTGGGGTTTGGGCTCCTGCTCCGGCTGGTGCCAATGGCCTCCCCCCGGTGCCAGGCCTCTCCCTCCGGCTCCTCACCTCCCCATAGATGCGGAAAGTGCAGGTCTCCTCGTCCAGCTCAATGGCGGTGACGCCCAGCACCTTGCGCGCCTGCTGGATGTTGGCCCCGTGGGTGCCGATGGCCAGGCCCATCAGGTCTTCGCGCACGGTGAACTCCTCCTGGAAGGCCGAGGCCAGCTGCTTGCTCGTCTGGGGAAGGAGCAGGCGCAGGGTGGGGGCCAGGCCGCGCGGGCCGGGCCCCCCAAGGGCCCCCGCTCCTGTGACGCCGACGGCAAAGACTGGGCAGCAGCCGTGGCCTGGCCCGCCCCGCGTAGCCCCCGAGGGAAAGCTGTGAGGCCAAAGTGCCAGTGGGGGAGGGGGCAGAACCGGAGAAGTTTCCCCAAGGGGAAGTCTGGGGGCAGAGTGGCCCTCGCGGGACGGGACTGGGCAAGCAGGTCACGGCGCCAAGCAGGAAGTGCCTGAGACCAAGCCAAGCGGTGCTGGCCCAAAGGAAGAAGAGCCCTCGCCCAGACCTGCCCCCCGCCCAGCCCTTGGCTGCCCCCCCGCCCGGGCACGGAGCAGGGCCCACACCCTGCAGCTCCTCTGACCTCCAGGTGCTTGTTGGCTTCCTCGTTCCGAGACATCAGCATCAGCTTGGTCCGGATGCTGCGCAGGTGCATGTCGCCCAGCAGAGACGCCCTCTTGACGGTGGATTCGTTGGTGGACTGCAGGAAAGCACACCCAGGGAAGCGGTGAGCGGTGAGCGCGGCGCTCTCCCCTGGCGAGCGAGTGAAAGAGACCACCCCACGAGCCAGGGCGCCGCGCGGACCCAGCCCCCCGGCAGCAAGGAAGGAAGTGAAGCTGCCCCGCGGCCCCCGAGAAGCCCGCCCCAGCTCGCTCGGGCACAAGCGCCCCTCTGCGCGAGGAGAACGCCAGTGCCACGCGGTGCGGGGGAGCGGGGCGCCTGCGGCACACCGAGCGCACTGGCGCTTTGGCTGCGGGCGGCACGGGAACGGGACAAAGGAACTCGGGCGGCCAGGTGGGGCAGATTTAAATCTGGCCGCCACAGACTGCTGCTCTGAAACGGGGCGCGTGTAGCACGGAGCGCCCCACACGCTCTCGGTGCATCTGGGTGGGAAGCGGGCAGCACTTCGGCGACCGGGCATCCGCAAGGTGAGGAGCGCTGAGAGTGGCGCTTCGCTGCGGTTGGGCGGTTGGCCACTAGGGGGCAGCGAAGCCTCGCAAGCTCCCAGCGCACCCAGGGGAGGCCGCGCCTGGGCCGGTGTGAGCAGCGGGGCCACGCGCGCGGATCCCGACCCGGGGCTCTTACGAGGATGACGAGCTCGCTGCTCGTGGAGCCGAGGAAGATGCAGTTCGCCCCGACGGCCTTCTTGAACTCTTTGTGCACGTTCTCATTGGAGCAGCTGCGGAGAAGCAACAGGAGGGACATGAGCCGGTCTGGGGGGCGGCCGCGTGCCCAGAAGCCGCCCTGGAAAGGGCTGAGATGCCCGAGCCCTGAGCAGGCAGCACCTCGCTCCCCCCTCCGGCCCACTGTCCCCACCCCAAGGAGGCTGGCTAGCGATGCGGAGGCCCTCCACCCGGAGAGGGGCCAGAGGGGGCTGGGGGGACCCGCCTGTGGCAAGTGCCCCTGCAAGACGCGTGGGCGCGGCCCCCGGCCCCCAGGCCACCCACCGGCTCCAGCCGCTACTCACGCCTCCTTGAGGTCCTCGGGCACCGCGATGGTGAACTTGAAGAAGCTGCACTTGGTGGCCACGCTGCTGGGGTTCACGGGCCGCAGCCGCTCCAGCGTGACGATTTCGTTGTAGATGGCGTCGCAGGCGGCGTACTCGATGACGTAGAACTGCGAGGGAGAGCGATCGCGTGGGCCGCTGCCCCTCTGAGGCGCCGGAGGAGGGCCGTTCTCCAGGTTTCTAGCTGCCGCAATCCCACGCAAATCCAAACCGGGGGGACGGGGTGCGGGAGCGTGCGAGTTCCGCCTGCCCACTGCGAAGGGGAAACCCAAGGCCCCCTCTCCCATGGGCCAAGGGGGCAGCCCCCAGATGGCAAGCTGGCCCCCCTCCACTCGGCTGCCCGCCCACCCAAATGCGGGAGGACAGGGCCGCCAGCCCCCCACGGAATTTCCCCTCAGGACGGTGGGCGGGGGGGGGGGCTGTGCTTGCAGCTCGAATGGCTCCACGCCAGGGGGAAGCGGGGCCGCCCTGCGCCTCCATCCGCAGCCGGGGGGGCACGGACACGCAGGCCATGAGCGCCCGCCCCCCCCCGCGGGCTGCAGCTGAGCTCGCTGGGCTGGGCTCGCCGGCACCCCCGCCTGGGGCTCTGCGCGTTCACGGGGGGGGGGGACACGGGACCCCGCCGCCTGCAGGGGTCCTGCTGCAAGACTTACGTCGCCCTTCATCATGCGCACCCTGGCCAGCCACCAGCCGCAGGGCTCGTGCTCATTGGCTCGCGAGTAGACCTGGAGCGACAGCGTGGGGCAGGTCAGCAGCCGCCCTCGGCCAGCGGCTCCCCCAGAGCCCGGGGGGGGGAGCCCCACGCCGGCCCCACTCACCTCCACCTCATCCCCTTCCAGGATCTCCTTGCTGTAGTCTGCCGGCGGGGGCAGCCGCACGTCGCCGAAGGGGATCTGCCGCTCAGGCTGCCAGCTGGGGGAAGAAGGCAGGGAGGGCGGGAGGGCGGGCGTGAGTGCGGCCCTGCGCCCGCGGCCACCTCTCCTCCCGGCCAGAGCCCTGCGGCAGCTCGCCCGTTTCCTCCCACAGCCACAGCCACAGCCCCACGGCCGGTCCAGCGGGGCGTCTGCGACGAGCCGGCGAGCCTCTCGGTCGAACACAGACCGCACGCCGGAGCCCCGAGCCCCAGCCCAGCGCTCTGAGCCACGACACCGCACTGGCTCCCGCCCACTTCAGAGAAGGGCACGGCTGGCGAGGCACGGCTGGACAGGGCGGCCCTGGGCCGCTCGCTCTGGCATTCAAGCCACCCCCCTGCGGCCGCCCCCCGTCGGGAGTCCACTTCCGCCCAGGGGAGGGCAGCCAACCCCCACACCCCGCCGTGTGGGGAGCCGCCACGCCTCCCTCGCAACAAAAAGCCACCGCTGCTCAGAGACGCGCGACGCGTGGCCACGGTGGTCGCGAGCCAGGCTTTTTCTGACGATGCCGTGGGAAGCGCCGAGAGAGGCAGCTCCCCGCACGCGAGCGCCTCTCCGCATCTGGCCTCACGTGCACTGAGACGATTACCTCCTTGGAGCGTTCGTTTCCCCCCCCCAGAATCCTAAGCCATGAGATGCCGGAGTGCGAACATGCTGGGCGGCCCTGGGGGACGGCGACTGGGCGATGCCGCTGCCAGAAGGGGAGGCCGCACGGCCGCTCTGCCGCGCCGCACTCCCTGCTCCCGCGACTGGTCGGGAATGTGCATCCCGGTCGCCCACCCCGTCCGTGCTGCGAGCACCCCCTCGCGAGCACGTCGGCGACAGCGGCTGGCCACGGTCTCTGCGCACTGCCGGAAGGAAACCGGCAGCAGCCTCCCTTCCGGAGGGAAAGTCTTTGCACCCCGGAAGAGTCCCTGAAGGGAAGGGACCGGCTGGGCCAGGGCTGCAGGCATCTCCACAGGCTTGCGCAAGACTCCCAACAAACAAGACAGCTTTGAACTTATTTAACTAGTGGCTGGGCGATGAGGCCGCTGCCTTGCTGGATGCCGGGAACAGTGGTGGTGAACCTACGGCACGCAGGCCACCGCGGGCACAGAGCCCTCTCTGCCGGCATGCGAGTCAAGCCACCCCAGCATCCGAGCATCGGATAACAGCACACATAGGGGCCGTGCGCATGCGCGGAAAGGAGTAGCAGCGCCAGGCGATGACGTCACAAGCCGCCACACATTAGCCGCGACCAGTCCAAGCTTACGCATGGCTGGTCAGTGCGCTGCCAAGGATATCTATGTATCTGCTTGGACTGGCTAGGAGTTTTTTCTAAACTAAAACATCAGTTTTCAAGTTTTATTGCACTGTTGGCACTTTGCGATAAATAAGTGGGTTTTGGGTTGCAGTTTGGGCACTCGTCTCTAAAAGGTTTGCCATCACTGGGTTAGGGTTAGAAAAACGAGGGGTCCTGGCATGATTTTGAGGGTTGGAATGTGTTCAGAATGGGCAGAAAGGATGAGCTGTGCAGAAAAAGCTACTCAAGGAAGGCTTTTTCAAAATCACCCTCTTTTCGATGGTATTTTAGCCCTATATTAGGGTTAGGGGTGTGCACCAGGGTAGGGTTAGGGTTAGAAAAACGGGGTGTCCTGGCATGATTTTGAGGGTTGGAATGCGTTTAGCATGGGCAGAAATGATGAGCTGCGCAGAAAAAGCTCCACAAGGAAGACTTTTTCAAAACCGCCCCTTTCAATGGTGCGCCAGGGTAGGGTTGGGCCAGTGGTGCTGAACCCATGGCACGCAGCCCCAGCGGGCACACAGAGCCCTCTCTGTCGGCACGCGAGTCAAGCCACCCCAGCATCGCCCCAGCAGCCGAGCATCGGATAACAGCGCACACAGGGGCCATGCGCATGCTCGGAAGGGAGTAGCGGCGCCAGGCGATGTTGTCACGAGCCGTGACTCATTAGCCTTAACTCGTCCGAGCTTTCGCATGGCCAGTCAGTGCGCTGCCAAGGATATATATATTTGCTTAGACTGGCTGTGAGGTGCTTTTTCTAAACTAAAACCTCAGTTTTCATGTTCTATTGTAGTCTTGGCACTTTGTGATCAGTAAGTGGGTTTTGGGTTGCAGTTTGGGCACTCGGTCTCTAAAAGGTTCACCGTCACTGGCCTAGAACCAAGGCATTCGGCCCACTGAAGGCAGCCAATCCCCCGAGCGCACACAGGGGAACAAGGGGCCTGAGGAACCAAGCAGTGCGGGCAGCTGAAGCCCCCAGCAAGGCCAGCGGAATGGGGCAGAGAGGTACTGCGAAACTCTGCAGGGCCCCCCTCAGAGATCCCCCTGGAGCTGTGCCCCCAGCAGGCCACACTGCAGCTCTGCGACCTGGTCGTGGTGCTGCAGGGCTGCCCGGGTAACCGCAGAGGGGAGCCGGCATCTACACACCCCTGCGCTGCCCGGGCTGGGACGACGGGGCCAGAGACACCTGCCGGCACCGTGCCAGCCACCTCCTCTGCTGCCACCAGCCCACAGCTCTTGCAGGTGATCACGGGACGGTCCAGCAACGCCAGAACCTGCTTGTTTCACACAACCTCAGCCCCCAAAGCTTGCGGAGCACGGAGCAGTCAGCTGACGGCGGGGCCAGGGCTGCAAAATACCCCTCCCCCGGGCCGATGTTCAGCAGCTAAGTGGCGGGCAAGCTTTGCAAGCGGGTCGGCACTCCACACGCTCCAGCCCAGCCCCACACCCAAAACCTCTAGGCTGCTGTCAAGCCAGGAATTTGAGCCACACGCTCCCAGCAGCCGACACGGGCAACATGCAAAACCCGCCACTCACGAGCGCGGTGGCATTTGATGCACGGGGAGAGCCGGGGCAAAGCCCTCCTCCCACACCAGCCTGCTCGGGTGTGAGCACGCTGGGGGCTCCCGCTCCGTGCGGAGGGGCTGGCCGAGTGCTGAATGCTGCCGCAGCCGACTCCTGGCGAGCGGCTCCCTGCCTCACCCCAAGCGAATGAGCACAGAGGGAGCACCACCTCACCGAGACTAGAAAAATTCTTCACATCTGGCTCGGAAGACAGGAAGAGCTTGCTGGGGCATGCGCCCCGAGAGCAGAAGGAAAGCAGGGTCCGGGCAAGGGAGCGCGTGCCATCCCTGCAGGGGACCACCAGCCGGCCCAAGAGAGCACTGCTGTTCTGTGGCTTGCCGGGCTTGGGTATGTTCGAACTGCAAACCGCCTTGCTGGCTTGAGAGAAAGGCGGCACGCACGCGAACAAAGGCCGCTCCTGCAAGGGAGCGCTCCCAGTGGTGCTTCGGACAGCGAAAGGCCGAGGGGAGCGTCATGGAGTGACTGGGCAGTCGCTCTGGCCGACAGAACTGCAGGTGCAGAGCCACGGCCCCGGGCGGCTGCGTCCCTGGCAGCCCCAGACCCGGACCGAGAAGGCCGAGGAAGGGGCGAGACCAGACGGGCCCCCGAGGCTCACTAAAGCAAGGGGTGGGCGCCACACTGTGCCCTCCGTTCCTGCAACGCCGGGCCAGCGTGGCCAACAGCGAGGCACAACGGGAGCTTCAGCAGGCAAAAATCGCTGGAGGGCCACACGATGCCTGGCCTTCCCCAGCAGCCCAGAGAGGGCAGACCTGCCACGAAGCGGAGCCCGGCCAAGCGGGAGCGGGGCTTCTGCGCCCCCCGCTGCCCCCAGCGAGCGGCAGGAGAGGCTTTCGGCGCAGCAGCACGGACGGGGACCGCGCAAGGGAGCAGCTGGCGGGCCGCCCGGGACCCTGCCAGGCCGCAGCACAAAAACACTCTAGGCTCCTCGGCACCAACACCCCCACTCAGGATTAACTGCAGGTGGCAGGAAGCGGGCACGTTTCCGGGTGCAGGCAAGCCACCGTCTCCCTGCGGATTTCTGGGGGCTGCACCCGAGGGGGCGCTGAGCCGGGGGGCCTGGACCGGACCCATGGAACGGCCGCCGCAGCGCCCATCCTCTGAACGAGCGGCCTCACGAGCACCGCAGCAGCTGCCCCGCTGGGCGGCCCAAGGGAGGGCTGGCCCGGCCTTTCTGTCCGGCGGCGGCCACGGACACCTGCTCGCACCCGTCAGCCCTTCCCCGACAAAGGGCAGCGGAGGCCTCATCGGAGCGCATCTCTGGCAAGACTCACTTGTTTTCGAAGGATATCGTGACCGAGTCTTCATGAACATCCTTCACAAAACCCTGCAGGGGAAGCAACAGACAAGAAACCCCGTGTTAATACCACAGCAAGCGACCGGGGCTGCAGTCACGTTCCGCCGCTGCCGCGCTTCCCCCCCAGGCTCCCAGAGGGCTGGCTCCCTCGCCGCCAGGCACCCGGGCTGGCCCGGCCCTCTGGGGAGCCGCACAGGCCACCCTCCCGCCCTGCCCTCAGGCTTGCTCTGGGGGTTTCTCGGGGGAAGGTGAAGGGCTATCTGGCCGGGAGCAGCTGGTCGTTCCGTTCCATCCAGAGCAAAATGGAGGCGCAGGACTGCCCCAGGGAGCCCCAGCGATCGACCTTCCGCTGCAGGGCCGGTCAGGTTCTCCAGAGCACCTGCTGGGCCGTGCTGAGAGGCTGGCCCTCCCTCCCTCCCTCCCTGACAAAGCCTGTGGCAGCTGCAGGGCTGTGGGGTTCTCCAAACCACCCGCCAGGGCACGAGCAGGCCACTCGATGGGGGCCAGGAGCACACTTCTCTCCTCCTGCCCCACTGGCTGAAGCAGGGCTTCCCCAGGCTCCCTGGAAAGACCAGCCCTGAGACCACCACCCAAGCTGGTGGCCATGAGAGAGCAGGGGAGCAATGCAAAGCTACGACGCCACTGGACCGCGTCAGTGAGAGCCAAGACTCCTGGGATTCTGCTAAGGTACCACTGTGGAGGCAAGAACCGGGTGCTAGCAGTCACAGCCGAGTGTATGGATTTGCCTGATTTACAAAGACACCGTGACACAGAACTGGCCCACTAAAAGCATTCGGGGACACTTGCCCGTAAGAGCCAACACCACACTAGCGGGTACCCGAAAATGCAAGCCGGTTCGCAGCCCGTTTGACCCTTGTCCTGACAAGACCAAATACGTTCGGGAGCGAGCAGGAGGACCCCCAGCTGGGGCGCAACGCAAGGGAAGCTGGCGGGTCTCCATGCATCGGGGAGCTTCCTGCCGCAGCGTGGCCAGCCTCATTTCTGCTGCTCACATGCGGCGCTGGTCTCACTCACGCATCCTACAGCGTCCACAACGGGCTCGTGCGGCAGGGCGTACACTCCTCTTCCTCCACAGAGCTCAGATCAGCTCACCTGAGGTGCTCAGGGCGCCTCCCGTGCCACTCAAACCCAAGGCAGGGATGCAGAGTTTCCTGAGATTTTTTGAACTGGGAAATTTTCTGATGCAAATTGGGCTGATGCGTGTAGGGTCATTTTGGAAAAAACTATTCTCTTGCATTAGAAAATCGCTAGAAAGATTAATACAGCATGGTCACTACATACAAGCAAAATAACAAAGCTTTAAAAGTACCAGAAAAGTACCAAGCACAACACACCAGAGGAATTTAACCTGACATATGTGAGGAGAGGAGAATTAAAGCACACTTGATATAGGTTAAATGTTCCTATGTAGGTATTTTTGAATACTTGTAACAAAGGAAAGACAATAGTATGCACTTCCCTTTCACTGTTGAAATATGAGGAAAGCAGCAAAGGGACTGAGGACTGCCGTCACAGCAATTCTGTCTTCCCCAAGCGGGTGCCCCGCAGACGCTTCACACTACGACTTCCAGCACCCCTCAGTCAGCATGGTGGCCGCAGACCCTGTGATCCGCAGCCCAGCACGTCTTAAGGCCAGCAGGTCAGAAGGTTGCATCGACCCATTTTAGCAGCCCAAAGACCTGCGTGTGACACACCGACAGCCACTCCCCTCTCAGCAGCGCTCACCCCTCTGCCACCAAGGCTCGTGGGCCGCCTTCAGGTTCCTTGCCCCTACTTATTAGTTCCGTGTCAGTGGCGTGCCTTTTCTCACATACTTGAGAGGGATAATCGCCTGAAAAACATGACTCGTAACTGTAACGTGCCAATCTTGCCTAATATCGTATCGGCAATTGGGACCCATTCATTTGAACTAATGAATTGTTGAAAAAGGCAGCTGCTTAAGGAAAACCACTGGGAAGTTTTCAAGGAAACGTCCCACCTGGAGGCAGTGCCTTGATGCCGCGCGGTCACAGAGCCCCGACTCTGGCAGGCCCACCCGTTTCTCCCACAAAGCAATGTGGTGCGCTTCTTGGTGCTGGTGGAGGGCAACTCTCGGGAAGATTCCCTGGCCACCCCCCAGCAGCCAGGCTCCGTGCTTCCTAGTCTTTTCAAAACCCAATTTCTTCCACCTTCCATAAAAGGCTTGAGAACAAGGAAGGCCGGGTTCTGCCTGGCGTCGGGGCAGATGCCACTAGCAGCTTCTGTGCCCTCCGTGAAAACTTTCCAGAGCCGTTTGAGACAGAGCCCAGCCGGGGCCCAAATGTTTCTGCAAAGTGCCACTAAGGCTAAAGCGTTCAATATGCGGGGAACCCAAGGAGATTTTCTGTACAGAAGGGCAAGATTCCGCCCCAGCTCCCCCCACATCCCAGGCCGACGTTTTTGTGAAACCTCTCTCTGCAAGACAGCCAAACCGTGCACTGGTTTGCCCCACCGTGCATCCAGATTTAGAAAGGAGAGCACGGCAAGTCTCTCTCCTCGCGCTATTCCCCCTTCCTCCCCGCAGCACCGCCATGGGAAACAGAGCAGCTGCAGCATCGCCCTCGAGGGAGGGAGACACACACATGCGCCCAGTCTGGAGTGTGATGCAGGCAGGGCAGAATGTCCCGCGTGTCCGGGGGGTGACAGAGCGAACAGGTGCTCCTGCAGGCAGATGCCTTCTCTGCCAGCTGCCCGGCTACCAGCAAACCGCCACCCGTCGCGACTCTCGCAGGAATTTGCCCGAGGACCGTTTGCTGCAGAAATGGGAAAGCCCTCTCACTCCAGTGAGCGAAGCCCCCGGAAGAGGGAAGGCGGCAGAGCTGCTGGCATCTTCACCCGCCTCCTCGGGCAGCTACTCCCAACAAGTGCCCCCTGGCAGAAGCGGCAGGCGAGGGAGGGATACACGGCAGCCCCTCCCAAGCCGGCACCCTCCAGATGTGCTCAGACTGAATTCCCAGCATTCTCCAGCCAGAGTGGCTGTCTGGGGCATCCTGGGAGTTTGGCCAAGGACCAGCTGGGGAAGGCTGGCGCTCACGATCTCCCTGCGGCTCCTGAGAGACGAGCTTCCCCCAGCTGCATGCCTCGGACCTCCCGCACTTCTCCTTGCCGGGCTCCGGCTCCCGCTCGGCAGGCCTGGCTGTTGCAGCAAACGCAGTGCCCAAGCAGAGCAGGCAGGCAGCTTCTCTCCCCGGTCCGCGCGCCTTGAGATGCCCTGGAGAACAAATCCTGCCCCACTCGGAGCACATTAAATGCAGTGACGAGGGTCTGACCGTTCTGCGCGTGACAGAAAGCAGGCGGGGCGGCATCCAACCAGACTGCCACTGTCACCCGGGGCGGGGGGGTGACAGCGGCAGGACCAAGGCTCTGGCGCCCCTGCGAGCCTCCCCCGGCCTGCACAGCGCCAGCAAGGAGCTCCTCATTTTCATCCACGAGGCCAGGCCCAGTCACCTCTACCTTCTGCCGCACGCAAGGCTGGTCGGCCTCCCCTCCACGCGAAAACAAAACGCCACCACGCTTGTTCCAGCCTGCCAGCACCTTCCCTTCCCAGCCCCTCTGCAAACCCTCCAGTTACGGCGAACGCCCGCTGATCGCTTCAGGGCAGAGCAGCGGCCACGTCTGAAAGCGCCTTCCCTTATTTCTGCAACCCAAACCCCAGACAAAGCTTGGGCTCGATTTCAGCGCAACAAGCCCCCTCCCCGGGCCAACGCTGAGGGGCAGGACGCCCAGCCCAACCTCAAAGCTCTTCCCGCCTCACAGGGGCTGGCACTAGCACTGAAAATATGCGCCTGGCTAAAAGGCACGGGGACCGTGCGAGGGGGGGCCACGAAGGCAAGCAGTGATTCCCGTTACATGAGAAGACTGCTATGCAGCAGCAGGGGGGTCACCAAGCACGCTGGTTTTCACCGCTTTTCTACAAGCACAGAGACAAACTTCTGTGAGGAGGATCAGCCAAGTAATCTCAGCCCAGTGCCCCAGACTGAGTTACACCTCTCAAGGCCTCTGCGTGGGCATGCCAAAAAGACACAAGCACCGGAGCTATTCCGGGGCACTCTGGAAAGGGCCCTCTTCATGGCTCGCTTGAGACTGGCAGCCTCGTGCCTTCGCTTTAGACCTCCCCTCCCCTTCCCTGTTAAGCAAAAAAAAAAAA